ATATACAATTACTATTTCTCAATAAAAAAGAGAAAAAACAAATATGGTGTTATTCTGACAGTAATATCTGTAAAAACACAAGTTTGATATGTTGGATACATCTTTCTATTACACAGTAAACAAATACTTAACAACTATTTTTTTCATAGCTCTTTTTGACCCAGTAATAGACAAGGAAACTCATACCTTTTGAGTGACTCAAGTGAGCCTGTTTGCCTGAGTTGAATCTAGTTTAGACTCACTTAGCACAGTCTTCTCTGATTTACGACAAGCGAGCTTCTGCTGGAATGTCTACCTGAGGTTGGTTTGATGGAGGCAGTGGCCCTTGAAGCTGGACCAGCTGACCTGGAAACTATAAGGTGTAGACTAGTTATGGAAGTGGGTGTCTCTGAGGTTACCAGAGCAGCATCCCACTTTTCTCTTAAAGGAAGAGTATTAGAAACTCAGCCAGGGGGATAGATGGAAAATAAGACAAGGACATACATTTGTCTCCAATTTCGCTGTTCCTCTGACACCAGGAACAAGTAGGGAGAGACTATTGTAAATATTCACCTATTTTCACCAGGCTGCATGTGCTCATTGCCTGAAGGGAGCTTTTCCTAATGGCTTTGGCAAAGAAGAATTCTCTCCCTTCCAATTGTGTAACCTAGAGTTTCCTGAGTTTTTTAAGGCAATGATAGCACCTCCTCAATATAAACTAAATGCTCCCCCAAACAATAGAGAGGATCTAAGTCCACCAGGCTTCTTCAGTATTTCAAAGGCCTTGGACAAGCTTTTGCCTAGGCATTGTGATAAGCTGTTATTTTTGGTTAAAATAGTAATCATTCACTTATTCAGTTAGTCAACCAGTCAAAAACAATTTCCTGAGCACAAGTTCTATGGGATGGGAGCATGTCTGGTTTTCTTGGAGCCACCAAAGCTGGAGTTCAGGGAGAAGTACGGAGCAAGAAAAAGGAAGGTCAGTGAGGCCAAGAGTGCATATGATGTATTTGTTAATACCCAATCTGTTCACTCCAGATAATCTCAGTTTCCCAGAGCTGCCAGTGTAACAGCTCCTTTTCATAATTCTGTGAATGTACAATTATCCTGTAATATTCCTGAGGGAGTGGAAGGAAGGTGTAGTATGCTATCTAAGAGGACAGTCTGAGCACATATGATAAAGCTGCTATCCTGGGGATGTTGCCAAGGATTCAACATCATATCCTTTTACCTGAACTCTTAAAGACATTTTCTGCTATTGTTTTCAGTCCTTTTTATGGATTTCTGATGAGTCCTGGCATCTTTTGCTTTAAGACAAGACATTCATAATTCAGTAACATCTCCTAACCTAATCCTCTTTCTCCTTTTCATAAAACCTTATTACACTATTAGCCTAGTAAAACAGAATTGCCTTGTGATGGAGTGATTAAATCCATGGGCTCTGGGATAAGAATGCTGCTTTCAGATCCTGACTTTACCAGTTACTAGCCATGTGATCTTGGCAAATTACTTAAATCTGTGTGCCTCAGTTCCTCCATACATAAAATGAAGGTAATATGCATACTTACCTTAGAGAGTTGCATTGAGGGTTAAGTGAGACAATCTGTGCTCTGGTAAGAACTGAATAAATGTGAACTATTAATGTGATTTACTCTGCCTCAATAGTAACCAGCAAACTACCAGATAAAGTTTTCGATATGCTTGTATGGAAACAAATTTTATTATTTCTTTACTGAACAGTATTTTCAGGTTAATAATTTGATTTCTTAATTTATCAAAATCTTTAAAATCTTTAATTTGGACCTAAAACCATCTTAACTACTTTGCTATTAATTACATTTAACTATCTTATTGTCCCTTCCATTATTTTTACCATTGTAGTGATGATAAATTGCTTTGTAAAAATGAAGGACAACATTAGTATTACTGTATCTGTTCATTTTATTTGGATTTTTATTAATATTCACATTCTACTCTACAGAAAATATAAAGTATATGTCTATATTTAGGACATTCATCAAAATTAGTATAGAAAATGTGTCCCCAACATACTTAAGGTAGCAAAAGCCATCTATGACAAACCCACAGCCAACATTATACTAAACAGGGAAAAGTTGAAAGCATTCCCACTGAGAACTAGAACTAGACAAAGATGTCCACTTTCACCACTTCTATTCAACATAATACTGGAAGTTCTAGACAGAGCAACAAGAGAAGAAAAATAAAGGTCATCGAAATTGGTAAAGAGGAAGTCAAACTGTCACTGTTTGCTAATGGCATAATCATATATCTAGAAAATCCTAAAGACACATCTAAAAGGCTCCTAGAACTGGTCAATGAATTCAGCAGAGTTTTGGGATAAAAAATTAATGTACACAAATCAGTAGCTTTCCTATATTCCAACTGGGGCCAAGCTGAGAATCAAATCAAGAACTCAACCAATTTTACAACAGTGCAAAAACATTAAAATACTTTGGAATGTACTTAAACAAGGGGATGACAGACTTCTACAAGGAAAACTACAAAAAACACTGCTGAATAAGTCATACATGACACAAACAAATGAAAACACATCCCATGCTCATGGATGGGTAGAATCAATATTATGAAAATGATCATACTGCCAAATATAATCTACAATTTTAATGCAATTCCTAACAAAAACTAACATATTTCTTCACAGAACTAGGAAAAAACAATCCTAAAATTCATATGAAACCCAAAAGAAGCCTCCATAGCCAAAGCAAGACTAGGCAAAAAGAAAAAACCTGGAGGCATTACATTATCTGACTTCAAACTATACTACAAGGCCATAGTTACCACCACAGCATGGTACTGGTACAAAAGCAGGCATATAGACCAATGGAACAGAATATAGAACCTAGAAATAAACCAAAATACTTATAGTCAACTGATCTTCAACAAAGCAAACAAAAACATAAAGTGGGGAAAGTACACCCTATTCAACAAATCCTGCTGGCATAATTGGCAAGTCACATGTCGAAGAATGAAACTGAGTTCTCATCTCTCACCTTATACAAAAATCAACTCAAGATGAATCAAAGACTTAAATCTAAATCCTGAAACCATAAAAATTCTAGAAGATAACATCAAAAGAACCCTTCTAGACATTGGCTTAGGCAAAGACTTCATGACCGAAAACCCAAAAGCAAATACAACAAATACAAAGATAAATTGTTGGGACTTGATTAAACTAAAAAGCTTCTGCACAGCAAAAGAAATAATCAGCAGAGTAAATAGACAACACACAGAGTAGGAGAAAATCTTTGCAATCTATACATCTGACAAAGGACTAATATCCAGAATCTATAACAAACTCAAATCAGAAACAAAAAAACAAACAGTCCCATCAAAAAGTGGGCTAAGGACATGAATAGACAATTCTCAAAAGAAGATATACAAATGGCCAACAAACATATGAAAAAATGCTCGACATCACTAATGATCAGGTAAATGCAAATCAAAACTACAAAGCAATACTTCCCTGCTCCTACAAAAATGGCTGTAATCAAAAAAATAATAGATGTTGGCATGGATGTGGTGAAAAGGGAACACTTTTGCACTGCTGGTGACAATGTAAACTAGTACAACCACTGTGGAAAACAATGTGGAGATTCCTTAAAGAACTAAAAGTGGGCCAGGTACAGCAGCTCATGCCTGGAATCCCAGAACTTTGGGAGGCCGAAGTGGGCAGATCATGAGGTCAGGAGTTTGAGACCAGCCTGGCCAACATGGTGAAACCTTGTCTCAACTAAAAGAAAAACACACAAAAATTAGCTGGGCATACCTCACTGCAGAGGTTGCAGTGAGCCGAGACTGCACCACTGCACTCCAGTCTGGGCAACAGTGAGACTCCATCTTAAAAAAAAAGAGCTAATAGTGGAGCTACGATTTGATTTGATCCAGCAATCCCACTCCTGGGTATCTACCCAGAGGAAAATAAGTTATTATATGAAAAAGAAACTTGTACATACATATTTATAGCAGCACAATTTGCAATTGCAAAAATATGAAACCAACCCAAATGCCCACCATATATATACACACACATACCTACATGCATACACACACACACCAGGGAAAACTACTTAGCCATAAAAAGAAATGAAATAATGGCATTTGCAGCAGCCAGGATGGAATTGGAGACCATTATTCTAAGTGAAGTAACTCAGGAATGGAAAACCAAAAAACTTATGTTCTCAATCATGAGTGGGAGCTATGAGAATATAAAAGCATATGAATGACACAATAGACTTTGGGGACTCAGGAGAAAGACTAAGAGGGGATTGAAGGGATAAAATACTACACATTGGGTACAATGTACACTCCTCAGGTGGTTGGGTGCACCAAAATCTCAGAAATCATAATTAAACAACTTATTCATGTAACCAAACCCCATCTGTTATCCAAAAACCTATTGAAAAAAAAAAAATCCCTGCTGTCAAGGATCCCTTAGAATATGAAAAACAGTAACAAAATAAAAATGTGTTCCAAGAGGAAATGTGCAATGCATTTTATAAAAAAATCTGACTTTTTTTTTTACTCTTAGTCACATTTATGATAACATGCAATAAAACAATCATGTGAATTAGTCATATCTTTCCCCACATGTACCTTTATACAGTCAACATCCCATAATCAACCAATACTGATTAACTTTTAGGAATATAAATATTCCATATATATATATATATATATATATATATATATATATATATCAATGGAATCTAACAGTCAACACATTTTATGGCTCTGTAAAAATAATTGAAATAGCTAGAGAGGAACAATGGGGCTATTAAGAGGTTTTGTTTTCCTCTTAGTTCCATACCTGCTGCACAGGTCAAATAGTTCCTTCATTAGGCT